ATAGATACTAAATTTTTTAGGTAATAAAAAAGAAATTATTTGTTTAAGTTGAGATTTTTAATTTCTTATTATATTGATCAAGCAAAGTATATAAAGGAGATTATTTTCTTATTTCAATTAAGCTGTAATATTAAAAAGCAAAGAAATATAAGACACTATTCTTTTCTAGAATTGAAAATATATTTTCTTAAACATTATATTGTATAATAATATTATAATTGATGAGAATCTCTACTACTAACTTTATCTTTTTTACCATTACAAGGTAAAAAGATTGTTGTGAAATCTAACTTTTTGAATAATAGAAGATAATTATTAGTAAAATTTCTTTAACTAGATATGATTACTGAAAAATATTAAAAGTTGTATAATATGATTAAAAAGTTATATAAGAATCAGAAGTTCATCATTAATTATTTTGTTTTATATAAATAGATACAAAATCAAGATTAAAAAAAAAAACATTAAGCAAAATACTGGATTTGAGTAGATAATAAGTATTTCAGATGGTTATAAAAAAGTAATCAAAATCTTAGATAGATAAGTTTCTTAAATGGTCAGGAAGAAGAAGAATATTTCAAAAGGGTTGGCTCCTAATAAAAAGAGATTTTCAATAGAAATTTTTGGAAAAACATGAAGTATTTTTATTTTTTTTATTTTCTTTTTATTTCATATAAATACAATTGTGCATTTTTAAATATACTCTTTTCTTTTATTTTTCCTTTTTTCTTTTGTAATTTCTTAAAATTAGTTTTTTAAAAAATAATAAATAGCAATATTCTATTAACAATTATATGTAAATTAGAATAATATTTATTCAAAATATATCATGAAATGAAACATTGTTCTCAAGGTTATACTTAGAGGCTAAAGCTCTTTTGAGAATTGAAAGCTATTGATAAATGAGTCAGTATAAGATTTAGTTTAGTTATGATGCAATTGTCCTATATATCTCTATTAGTTTTAATAAATACACAATGCTGGCCTAACCATGGGTTTAAAAAAAAAATTAATATAATAAACAAGTTTAAATATTTAAAATTTTAATAATTAAAATAAACAAAGAACAAAATTTTAAAAATGTTGCAACAAAATCGGATTTTTGCAAGTCTAAAATATTTTTCTAAATCAATTTTCGAAATTAAAATTACAAATAAAAATATTTTTTAAAAAAATTTTTTTAAAATATTTATTATGATAAAAAATATATTTTCCTTTCATAAAATATATATAATATTTTATATAAAAATTTGAAATTTACTTTACTTTTTAAAATAGATTTTTAAACTTCAAAATAGAATTTAATAATATAGATTTTTTTATGTTAGCAGGATTTTTTTATTAAATTAAAATTTTTCAAAAGCAACCACATTGTAAATTTTGCATTCTTAATAATGCCATAAATTGTATCTTGAATGGTCAGACTCCGACTTCTATATTATCGATAACAGCATTGTTGAGTCAACTGACATTACAAGTTCGTGGAATTAATTGCCGCTGGTATGACAATAATTTGCAGTTTCAATCTCTCGAGCCGATGTAGCATTCTTGCATGGACGTGAACGTGCTTTAGCAATATTAATTGTAATTGATTTCATATAGTAAATTGTATATAGATTAGAATCTTTGAAGTTTGATTATTTTCAAATGGTTTCCTAATGGATGGACGCCTCTAATCTTTATGATCTCTAGCCTATCCTCCTGTTGTACGTCTCTTGTTCAATAGCTAGAGAAGCAATCCATTGTTGTTTGACGAGTCAATTCTTTGATGCACAGCTGATAAAGAGTGAATGTATGTACGCAGCTAAAAAAAAAAAAAAAAAAAAAAAAAAAACAAAAAAAATTTAGGCACATTATAACAAAATAATACAATCAGATGTCTCAAAAATTCGGACGCATCGGCCGTGTACAATAATTTTTACGCATTGAAAACAAAGTGTGGCGAAAAAAGTGTGCGAGTGGCATGCAGCTAGTAATCAGTGATGCGGTTTGAAAAAGTGCGTGAGCGCCCATGTACAATACGATATAAGCTACTGTGCAGGGGCGAGCAAATGTCGAATAAACATTTTCCTATTCGGATGTGCCCAAAGAACATTGTGTTAATCCAGTGACTCGGTAACAAGCTACTTGCGTGATCGGGAACTCTTTCGACGCCTTGATGACGAAAAAAACAAAAAGGGAATAAAAAAAAAAAAAAAACACTATAAAAATGTCAGGGATTCTGCCTACCGATCTTGTTTCTATACAAATCCTTGTGATTTTTCTTATTCAATAAAATTGAAACTCTGCGTATATACAACAAACATTTGAAACCGACGTTAGGCAAATTCGATTCCTCTGTTCATTTCCAGCTCTACAACAGCCTTGGTGTTTCTTTCAGTGATGACAGGGCTCCTAGTAGCCCTTTTGATCAATCTCCTCATTCTACTTCCGATCATCTGTTACTCGCGAGATGAAGCCACTGATAAAGATAAAATATATTAGAGGATCAAGGATACAATATATATATATATACAGTATATAGAAACATTAGAATTCAATTATAATGAAATTAAAAATATTTACTTTCATAAATTGTGTATAGAAAAGAGGTCCACAGAATAATATTCCTTCCCAGTTTACATTTCGCTCTCAGATCTTATGGTAAATTATCACGCATCGTGAAGATGACCAATTAACACCTTGATTCGAAGTAATGTCAGTTGCCGGCGGTTGGGAATGGGCATCATTTAGTTTTCAATTTATTCACCGTTATAAATTTTTTTTATCTCATCTCATAGATTATTTGATTTGAATGAATTTAAATCCACAAAACATTTTATTACTTCTGACCATGTCTTACAAAGGGAACATCAGAAACTTTGCACCGAATTATCGCAACAACACCATCGTCACCTTAATCGAGTTCAAAAATATATAATATACATATTGTACATAATATGCTTTCGGTTTTCTCAATGATCAAATGAGGTTATAAATGAAATAAACAAACAAACCTACACTTCCAATTATGCAAAGTTGTGAGCAACAAAAAGAGGGTTTTTTTTCCCTCCCATGAATCCACATTTCATACTGATGGCAATTTATTACAAAAACAAATTGAATAAAGATAGGATAAATGTGAGAAAAAATAACCAAATGAAATTAAAGATGAAAATAAATATGTACAATATAGAAACTCGAAAAAAAAATAAATAAATAAAGATAAAAGAAAAAAAAAAAAAAACTTACAAGAATCTGTGGTTCAATAATCTAACGAATACTTCCTCTAAATTTGGAATGCATTGAACCTGCAAAGAGAATATCTCATGCGAGACAGCATCTCTTTGTCTATTGCGAACAGTCAATTTGTTGCAGATGGACATGTCGTCACCTATCCACAACTTTAAGTGAACAAAGTTGGTGAAAATGCATCTAATAACGAGAAGAAAATATAAAAAATAATATAAATAATAAAAAGGAAATAAAAAATCCTACATCTTTGATTGCATTCTTCTATTAAATAAGCTGGAATTGAGAAACTAAACTCAAATACCCAACTGGGGTTAGAAAAAGTCGGAAAAAAGGTTTGTCATTCCTGAAAGGGTCGTTGAATCAATACTATCTGGGTCAAGAAGACCAAAAATTTCATAATGTGACGAACCTTTGAAAGCTTTAGTCAGATTAGTTATTTCAGAGGTGGTTTTCTTTCCGGAGGTAACGGTTGTTAGCGGTCGAACTTGTTTCTTCCTTTTCGACGTTACTTTTTTTTGTTGCGTTCGAATTTTTTTACTCGCTTTAGCTAAAGGAAGCGAAGGTGAGGTGCATTTAAATTTTGATTGGCATGACGCTCGCAAAGTATTAGAGGTTTTGATGGAAAGTCGAGATCTTACGACTTGACGTTCTTTGGCACAGAATTGGCAACACATTTTTCTTTTCAGACAAGGGTAAAATACTTCAAAGAAGATGGAGTTTTGAGTTTCTTGAAACTGGGGGAATGGGGGTAGCGTTTTTTTATCTATGGCTGAAAAAACTGCGTAACAATCGCATTATCCGATTGGTTAAAAAAAAAAAAAAAAAGGTGCCGCCAAGATAAGTCGGATAATAATAGCTCAACGATTTTTGCTTTAATTTTAATGTCCATGAATTAAATGGATTATAACGAAGTCAACATGAATTTCGTTTGTCTTCAGTCTCGTGTCTCATAAATTATTCATACTTCATTTCGGGAACACCTCGAAGAATCGCTGTCAAAGCATTACATACGGAGCAATAATTTTTATTAGCTCGATACTATTGCTTTGGGGAAAGTCCTCGGACATATGGCAGAAAGTGTCTCCCATAGTGTGGTATTACTTATTCGCTGTGACCTTCCTTATGTCGAAGAAAAGGATTCACAATCCTTGAGACTCTTGGGAAGTGTCGCGAATAGGTTTTGTTGGTCATAGCACAGTTATGCGATTGTGGTCACCTTCTTCTGCGCTCGTTACAGGAGAAGTGGTCATAACACAACGGGGCTTACTCTCGGGGTGTTCCCGCATTTTTTTATGACGCGTCAAATATCGCATCTCGTTTATTTGTTGATTTGTGAGTATTAACAAGATGTAATATAATTGGAAGACAGTACACTCTTTTTGACGCATAATAAATATATCATCAAACCAACTTTTTTTGGTCCCACAACATATAGTAGAAAAATTTTCCATATTTGCCCTTTACAAAACTCCAACACCAAAAGTGTACGATGAGGTATGCATCCGAAAGGCCAAAACCGGCGCCTGAATTCACTCTCGTGTTAATGGGTTTTCTCAATAGGGTCGCACAACGAGATACCGTCGATCAGATATTGCACGAAAATTCGTCGGTCGACATTTCTTTTTTTTTTTTTTTTTATATACATCATTTTGAATAGATATTTCGTGATGGAACTAGAAGTAACAATTGACCTTTTTGATGCAGAAGGGTCGCAGTAACGAATCCTCCCTCCTAAGATGAACTAATTTGTCCCCTCCCGACAACATTTAATCAATGATATAATAGGTGACTCCACCTTCCTCTACAGATTCCAATTCTGCTGCCTTCGGTTGTTCCCGTTCTTCGGCCTCATCCTCACTTGCTTCTCCATCATCCAAATCGTACGAATCAAGCTCCCACACCTCTCCCTGATCCATATCATAATCATAATACCCCCTTCTGTCGAATCCTCCGATGATCCTCACATTGGACTCCTCATAGTCATTATACATTTGTCCTTCATATTCTTCGCACCTTTTATTTAGTTCACTCTGGGCTTTCCGTTTATCCGTGTAAACACCATCGATAGCTACGCTAATATCTGAAATGCAATCGTTTTCCCCGCAGGAGTAAGTACTGTTGGTGAGTATGTAGACTTTTTTATGTCTAGAGCGTACAGTGTAGTTGACATAGGCGGCCGTACGGGACGGAATGTTGACGATCTGATACCATTGCTTACAAACTGATCTTACATTGACTAACTGTGGAACGGAAAGGTGATCAAATATAGCATGAATTAGCTCCGGTGTCGTAAGTACTTCTATAACGGGAGATCTGGTTGGAGGTGTAGCAAGCGTGGTCGCCGTGTCAACTCCAGTATTGGGTGTTTGAGTGGTGGTGGTGAAGGGCTGTGTGGATTGTTGGTCGGTCGACGGGGTTGTCATTTTCTTTTAGTAATGTGGGCGGATCAGTAAGACATTTAAAGAAATAAAATTTTCTTCGTTTATTGAATTTACCTGATCGAAGTAATAAAAGACTGCTTACATAATGAATGAGAACGCAAATTTAAAAAATGTTATAGATGAGAATTTGTTGATACGGTATTTACAAGACGCGTTACTCAAGTCAAAAAAAAAAAAAAAAAGTCCTACCCATATCATATGTGATACAAACCATTGAGCTATTGTGGTACAAGTGTGTATAAGGTGCTATAAAGTACGCACGTAAATCATGTGCACTATACAAATTCAATGAGCGGAATTACTGACGCAGAAAGGCAAAACTACTATCAAGTCTTCACTTCACTAGGCCCGTCGCACACTGGTCACTTATCAGGTATTTTTGCAAACCTTCGAGAACGTGGATGGCAACTGAGGATAAGAAGCTAAAAAAAGATCTTTCATAATATCATCATAGGTGCGCAGGCGATGAGTTGGCTTCTAAGTTCGAAGCTTCCAGTTCCTTTGCTTGAAAGAATATGGTAAGAGGTCATCAACCCGTCCTGATGTATTTACTCCCTTCGGCTAACCACATGTCCACCCTTTCGCATAGGGATATTTGTGACATTGATAAAGACGGTCAACTCGATTTTGACGAATTCTTGGTTACCTCCAAGTTGGTGAGTGATCTGTTGGCTAGGGTGTACACCGATGTCCCTTCATCTCTACCACCACATTTGATTCCCCCCAGCAAGGTTCACCTGCTCGCTGCCAGCGGTTTCGGTGGCAATAGTTCAACTTTGGGCATTGTTGGTCATGGGATGTATTCACGGTCCATAAGCCCAAATCCACAGACGATAAATCCAATCCCGCAATCAATTAGTCCTATTCCCCAGACCAACATTGGACCGATTCAATCAGGAATGTCGAATATAGTTCCCTCCTATCAACTTTCACAGAATTTACCGCAGATCACATCCGTCCCGTCGTTATCGTCGCAAGTATGATCGAACGATGTTTGTCAATTGAGAACGGTTTTTTCGGTTTATAGGCGTACGATAATTTACTTGGTTCTCATAATCACACCACAGTCAAGCTACGGTAGTTTCCCTGCAGCACCACTTTCGGATGATTTCGATTGGTACATGCCGCCGGCAGATAAGTTCAATTACGAAAACGAGTATTCCAAGAAAGCTGGTCTCCATGGATACGTTCGATGTGAGTCCTTCGAGAAGACGTGGTATTCGGGACGGTTTGCAAATTTGTTATTTATTTAATTGTCAATTCGTAAATTTAGTTGCCGATTTTGACGATCTGTATCAGCGACTCGGAATACCAAGGGAAGAGTGCATGGCTGCGTGGTTTGTTCAAGATTCATTGTTCAACTATTTGGTTCTGTCCAACTTTGTGAACACCTAGATGATTTTTTGATATGATGTTCAGGAATCTCACCGATGTGAACTTCGAGCAGCAACTAGGCAAGGACCAGTGTCTAGTATTTTTGCACGTATTAAATCAAAGAAGTAAAGGCAAACGTATACCCGATAGTGTTCCTAGCGCGTTAAAAACTTCTCTGGTGAGGGGTAGACTTAATTACAATTACAATGAGACGGTCGATCCATCGTGGAAGTCAAAGTCGTCTGACAGTGATTCGCAAAGTTCGATAGGTGGAACTTACGGTAGTTCCGGTATGTTGAACAGGGATCTCGAAGCAAAGCGTAGAATCGCGTTTATATAAAATTCATTTATCTTTCCTTTTTTTTTTTTTTTTTTTTTTTTTTTTTTTTAAAAATGTAGGCTCGAAATGGGAAGAGCAACAACTACAAAGGGAGCTCGACGAATTAAACGAGAAACTTAAAAGAGCAGAGGATGCATCGTTGTCTTCGAGTTCCGGGGATTCGGGTGTTGCATCGGAATTTAAACAACTATGTGAATACAAACAGAGGCAACTTACTGAGGAGCAAGATAAAGAACAGTTGAATAGGATGTTGGAGGAATACATTCGCAAAGAGAGACTCGCAATACGAGAATTGCAGGATGGCTTACAATCTCTAAAAAGTCTGATTTCGACTATTGAAAATAATTCGGAATCAAGAGAAGCAGATTACAGAAGGCTTCAAAGGGATATCGAGGATGCAAGGCTGGGTCGGTGATTTGATGGTTTAGTTCATTTATACATTTTCTATCTTCCAACGATAGGAAAGTGGGACGCGAAGGTTATTTTGTATAAGAGTACATACGGCACTTTGGAGCATGAAATAAAGTAATCGTCTAACATTGAAGATACTATCAAATGTACATGATACACACTGATCTTTATTTGACAAGAGTTCATACTGGCGAGCTTAACAAAGGATAGAGCTCTGCACCGCGTCAGTGTCACCTTAATCTTTACATATTGGAAAGAACTCTCGACCGGCGGCGTCGTGACACTCGCCCACCACCATCAGGATCGTCGTCACTTGTGAGCAATCAACCGGTTAGCCGGGTTTAGCTATATGGCTGTGAGCCATTCGGTCGATTAGTGTTGATTACGCTCGTTCCGGTTAGCCGTTTTACGATGAATATCATCTATCATCATGATTGAATGATGTCATTCCCTGTGTACTTTCATCAATGACTTTATGACGGCAACCACTGACGCGCCAAGTATTACCAAATTAATAAGTGTGCCGTATAAACAACCCAGGTATATCGTGGATGAATTATTGAACAATGTCTACATAGTCATTTAGAATATATATATACATGTGTGTGAGCAAATTGTTCCTTTTTAAATGATCATAATAAAGAACAAAAAAAAAAAAAATTAAACAAAAAATAAATTTTTTTACCGCATAAGATGCACCTAAGTGACTTCCAATGACCCAGACCACTTGTACCAAGTTTTTTCGGGGATTTGAGAATCCGTCAAAAGCCAACATCATCCATGTTATATGCAATAAAATAAATATGCAAGTGGTGATAGCTAATTTGGGGGGTGATTTTGTGAATTAGGATTCGTAGTAAAATAACGAGGAATCTCGGTTAAAATAATAAACCAATGTGTCGACATACCTCCAACAAAATATACGGTCAAGGCGGGACAAGAGACGCACATCAACACCCCTGGGCCAATTGAGCTTACCAACAAATTTATGTAGGTGATAATGCCGTTCATCAGGCCAAAACCCATCCCACTAACTGCAAGTCAAGGTTATTTATTGATGCACAAAGGAAATTACTAATAGTGATCAAAGAAGATTCGCTCACCAAATGCAAAACTCGACCTATTATATGATGATCGGGGATTACTCGACACTAGTATGAGTCCTGGTTCGGCACGCCTGTGTAAAATTATCGAGATCAGAGTTGAAAAAAAAAAAAGGGAATGCAATTACGACAAAGAATTTGTGCATACATCATGAGTTTAAAGAAAAACCACCGAAAAATTTCCTGCAGAAGGACACTATATAAGATGGTGATCGTCATCGTTGGTTTTGCAAAGTACCAGATAACAGAAGACAATAACATCGAAATTAGCCAAAAGAAGGCGCTGAAAGACAAAGTGATGTTAACGATTAGTGGAAAAAAAAAAAAATATATATATATATATATATATATATATATGTATATATTAAAATGATATGGGAATCGGGTTTTGAAGGTAAAAGGAAACACTTTACCTTGAAACCATTAATATCACCAGTTGCGCATCTTTCGCGATGTGCAGAAAGAATATACTGAGCGCTGGTCCATAGGCTAGAGTTTTCGAAATTTAAAGACATTCATTAATCAACAAGCGAATCGAATTCATGATGCAGTCGGATAAAAGTAAGAGTAGAGTGAATGCCTGTTAGACCGCAACCAAAAAATGTTATTAGAGTCATGGTTGGTCGAATGCGGTAAACGGGAATCATGCTCATGTATATTTTTTTTATTTCACGTGGAACTGAACTGATCATTAATTCCGGCCAGCACTAAGGATAATTTGGTCAAATTACTACTACTCGAGTGAATCCGTAAGAAAATAATGGTACATTGCAGTTGAATGACAACTCGTGAAAACGAATGCAGATGTAAATAGATTTATTAAAAAGTTCTCAAGCTTGTGACGTACAGATATCGCATCGTGATCATTCTTTTAAACCATCAATGACGAAGATGAAAAACAAGATCCAACTTGAAATCAAAACCCCAACGAAAAATACAATGTAAATCCAATTCATTCTCGAAGACCTTTTCTGCTGCATGCGTGACTCGACATCGTCTTCGTTCCGTTTCTTTTCCTCAAAATAGTATTTTCGCTCATCATCTTTCATATCGAGCACTCCGTCGTACCACTTTCTTGTCACCATTGATAACCATATGGATATTAACATCGCGACAAGACTGGTGATCAAGTATAATCTCATCACCAATGTATACCTCCCGTGATCCTCATCTTGCAGTATGCCGACGAGGATGTCATATAATGTAGCGCCTACGTTCGAAACTGATTTTACTATTCCCAACCCTGTGCCGACATAACTCAACGGCAATAAAAGTGGAATTGATGATAATAACGAAACAGGCCCTAACGAGAGTGATATCGAAAAACAAAACATTCCAATTATTGGAGAGACCAAGAGGGTGAATCCAAGCAAGTACATTGAGAGGCCAAGGAAAAACGTGGATGCGATCACTTTTTTTTGAACGTGAACACATACACGAATGAATATACAGTATATACGGCATGTATGACATTAGTGGTTGAAGTTAGTTACCGGTTGAAAACAATTGATCGCGAACGAGAATGAATCTACTTACGAGCGTAAGATCGATGTCCGAATCGGTCCAACAGGTAACCGAGAAAAGGCGCGACGAATATCGGTAAGAATTGTGCGACACTCGAGTTATATGCCGCGATTTCGTCTGAACTATTCCATCTTGATTTTACCAGTTCTCTATGGATATGATTTGTTTCGATTATTTGATTTCTGATGATAATCTTAAAATCCAGTCAAGAAGGAAATGATATAATGGGGTGCATACGTGTGAATATGCAAAAATGAGGTCCATGAACAACCCAATGCAAATTCGAGCAACACAACAATCCAATAAATTGCTGGCAAGAATAACAGGGTTCTCGGGTTGAATGATCGCTTTTGTTTGAGCTTCATCATTTCTCGTTCGCAAAGTTTTTCATTAATGACCCGCATGATAAACACATATATTATGTTTATCGCCAAGGAGATTATGCACAGGAATGACGCAAACTAGAGATGGTAAGACGACAGAATGCATTCGATTAATGCGACCAATTGTTCAACGGAGAAGAGGGGGGAGAACGGTTGATTCTTATTTACCCAAAATGCCCAACCATAGAAACCCGTGATTCTTTTGATGGGCACGACGGTCAAGTTCGCCAGGAACGAAGACTTTATTATTGAGAAAGGTTAATATTGGTTGGTTAGGCTCGAAACAAGAATCTCGTCACAATTTCGCGACAACGAATGTCGGGAATGATTTATTACCAATCTTGCCACGGCAATTTGTGAACCGACAGCGATTGCCAGCCCCTTTCCCTTAAACCAATGGCTCAGGATGGCCGTCTGGATCGTGACAATGGTCCCACTTCCAATACCATACATGATTCTCCCCACCACCATCACCGAAAATGATACCAGTGTCGTGGACAACGCTACCAAGACGTTTCCTAAGGCGATCAGGGAAGTGGCCAAAATTGATCCTGTCATGGTTCCAAAGGTATCGATAAAGACCCCGCCAAGGATTGGCAGAATCGTGTTCACAAGCGAGACGGAGGATTGTACGATCCCATATTGTGCATTCGTGATTCCCAATTCCTGTGTGATACGAGTTTAATAAATCACTGCTGCGCAAAATTAGAAATTGGAACTGCGAAATACAAACCTCTTTGATTACCGCCTTTAAAGCGCCGAGCGTGTGAGCGGCATAGTGACTCCCAACTATAATTCAATAATCAATTGAGACGACATTGATTTTTGCTTACAAAATACCGACCGCTGCACGTAGCACAGTTATGGCAACGTTGGACCGTCCTCTACACATACCGGCCAGAGACAGAGCACACAGCAAAGCTACGATTTTGTATTTCCAAGGTCTCTCGACATCTTCAAAACTTTCTCCGCTTCCTTTATTTATTTCATTATCGGAGCCATAATCGTGCAGCAGATCCAGTCGTTGACTTCTTTCTTCTGATATTTCTAGGGATGACGAAGAACGGGCGGTTAATGGTGTGTATTCCGCAGCGTTGTTGTGCCTTGAAGATGAGAGCAGTGAGTGTGAAGACGACGTCATATTTTAATATATATATATATATATATTTTTTTTTTTTTGTTTTAAAAAAAATTTTTTTTTTTTTTTTCTTTCTTTCTTTAATTCATCTAAAATGGTACGCCGACTCTTTATATAAGGTAATGGACGGAGACAGGAAAAGAAATCCATGATTACATTACATTAAAAATCTGATAATTCTATACTTGGGTGAGATTGACTATTTGTAATCAATGTCATTTGGTTATCAGATTCGTTCCTCTAATAACAAAGATCTGATAAGTTAAAAAAGGAATAGGTTCAATTGCCATGAGGAGGTCTTCATAAAAATTAATTATTTAAACTCCCGATAAGCAGTTACGTGTAGGATCGTTTCCCTATTGACTCATTAAACAGAACGCACGCCCAATTTTTATGCGCACACTTTTTCATCACGATTTCGAAATTTCCTAATCGACATATTTGTGTCATCGGATAGACTAACGCACGAAAGTGGCTGTAGTCGACCAATCGGCATAGCCTGCGCTAAATTAACGAGGGCTAAGCCCGTATGGGCGAGTGTCATTGACATCTCCCCTTCCGCCCTCTATGTGAGACGCAATGAGTTAGCTAATACTCGGATTCATTATTAACAATTAGTGCCCTTTTCTGATTTTCACAAGAGATCAACCGTTCATGCGGATTGGATAATCATGAACAAATAAGAGTTAAGCAGAACTCATAAGCATGCGTCTTCCTTTCCGCGAGGGGTGTTGGATGGTACAAAGGAGACGGGAGGCTTTTTTTCTCTCCGAACGAAACAACTTTCGATGAAAAATAGCATCAACAAATAATAATAAACGGATGATGTCCGTCGTGAAGATTGAAGTTTCAACTGTAAATGAATATTGTTTGTGGTTCTGTGATTTTATTGCACTAGATATGGAAAAGTGGGATACATTTTTTTTTTTTTTTTGTTAAATGATAAAAGTGTGTGGTGGATAATAGAAAGGGTATTAAGATTAATATTAAGTGTGAATGTTAATAAGGAATATGGTGATGGTAATGCCTATAAATTATTTACGGGGAATAATTTTATTGCTGCAGGTTTTTTTTTCTTGAGAAGAATTAAAAAATAAAATAGAACTATTAATGACAAGTGCATCCAACATTATATATGATTTCAATTTATTATTATTTTTAAGCGACAAATTTTGGAAATTGCAATAAACAGAATTATGTGGTTAAAACTAGAAAAAGGTACTAACAGGTGGTGCAAAGTAGAATATCGGTAAAGACGTGCTTTTTTTTTTTTTTTTTTTTTGAGTACATTCAGAACAACTATGGGAAGGGTTATACGGCGGAGATAATTTCTTTTATCAGGGACAAAAACGATTTTAGTAAAAGGTATTAGTGTAATTTTTTGCGATCTATGATTTCGCGAGAAAACAAATAGATCTAATGAGAAAAAAAAAAAATGCCGCAACTTTGATCCTAACCGTGGGCAACAAAAAAAAAAAATCTCACCATCGTACCAAACATAGTTTGTCAGTTGCCAGTGCACACTTTTTTTCTTTTTGATATATATATATATATGTATATGTAAATATGCATATATATTATTACTATTATTATTCTTCCTCCTCCTCTTCCCTAATCATTGCAGGCTTTTGTGGATTGGTTATCTTTGGACGTCTACTATTTACTGTGCTAAAACCGTTACTCTCATTCGCGTTAACATTGTTCACATTGATATCATTCCCGACCATTGACATCATCGATTTTCGGGGGAGGCCGTTTTGCAGGGAACGACGCGAATTCATCGCGTTGTTTTGCACGAATAGACGTTGCGCTCCGTTGAGCACGGAAACGTTTGGAGGGGAAGGTGATGAATCCCTTCTCAGCTCGGATCCCGTGATCTCACGTCCTTTCATCCGATTGGGTATATTGATACCAATGTTCTCGGTATCATTCGAATTATCGGAAATTCCTTTTCCAACATTCCTGAGCACGCTCGGTGAAGAGTGAGTACGATTGTGCTGAAGTTGACGTAATTGAGAGGACTTCGAGGGAACCGGATGTGTTGACGGAAAGGGTGACTGTGACATTTTGGGGGAATCCGGAGGTGTGGACATGAAATTGAGTACAGATTGTAACTGAGGTCTTTCAATGGGCGACGCGTTGGTCCCTGGATTCTTTCCCTTCGCCTCTGATAACAACGTATCGGTGGAACGTGATCTCAGAAGTTGGTCGTTGCTTCCTCTCACCGTTGATGGTGTAGTCTCATCGTTATTGTCTGTTGGAGATGACGGTGGGGAGAACAACGTGGTTAAAGATTGTGACGGCCGGCGAGGTATGGGTGCGGTGATTGTGAGTGATGTTGGTGGTTGGAGAGGAGATGATGGTGGATGTTTAACGGAATTGTCATGTTTAAGTGTGGGTGAGTTGTTTGGTGGTGGGGAAACGGAGGTAGATGTGGGTGGCGATGGAGAAGGAGTGCGAGATGGCGTACGGGATTGTGCGTGAGATGTGATTTCACTAGCAGCATCAACAAATACATCAGATTCCTCACCGTCATCACTTGGCGCTAAGCTCTCCTCCGATATCTTGAGTGAGGAAGATCCATCATCTTTCGGCGGGACTATTTTTTCTTTAGCAGATTCCAACATTTCCGTATCTTTTTTTGGCGGTGGTGGTGGAGGTGATGGCGGAGTGGGGGGTGGAGACGCTAAAGCAATAGTTTTAAATTTTGAAGATTCTACTACTATGGATTGTACATTCATATCTAATGTATCCTTTTTACTTTTTGCATCAGCACGAATGTCCGTTATCGTACTTTTTTCAAAAGTGTCCTTTTTGCACTTGTTATTATTATTGTTCTCGGACGAACCGGATTCATTGGTGGAATTAAAGTTTTCTACAAATTGATTTATTGAGCTACCACCTGTACTCCGTCGCTTTACTTGCTTGCGCCCCCAAGATGAGCCGGGATATGCAAACGGATTTCTGCGATTGATTGTGAACATCGTCTTGGATCTCACTGCTGGTGGCGTGCCGGGGATAGGTAACATGCTGGTCGGGGAATTTTGTGAAAGGACGATGGAAGGAGTGACGGGGGGTATTATTAATGGTGGAATATTATGGCGTCGACCTTTACTACCTTGCAAAGAGTTTCGGTTCTTCTTCTTTCGATCTTTTATCGACCCACGCGATACCGATGATGACCTCTGAAGGTTCGCATCATAATTGGGCGGAGTTTTGCTACCACTTCTTCTGTTAATGCGCGATCTCGTACGCGCGACATCCGTGGGTGCAACAACCCTGCTTTCCGCCCAACCTAATATGTTTTTCTTGTAAGAACCTGAATCTTTGTGATGATTGGCTCCGACCCACCATCCCTTAAGTGCCGAAAATATACCACCTTTCTTTCGATGACTAACTTTGCCATTAGACATCGGTATCGGTATTGTTATTGGTACGGTCGGTATAGGACTGACCGAACGGGAACTTAGTGGACTGGTGAACGACGAATACTTCTTGGGCGATAAAGGCGGAGATGCGGTCGCGGTAATGGTCGTCAGAACGGGTTCCACCGCCTCCGGAAATGAGAGGATCAAAGATTTGCGCCTTTCGCGCGAAGCCGGTGCAGAATGATAGGTCTTGGGCGGTGGTGTTGGTGGCATTATTTCCTCGAGAATTTCAATATTGTCCTTCACCTTTGTACCCTCCCCTTCATGCGATGACCTGGGTAAACCATTGTTCTCTTCCGGTGATTCTGCATCGTCTAATTCCTCGTCAATGTCGTCCACCAATTCCACCTCATCATCGCTAGTACCCACAGCCACGTCAACCATTGTTATTGAACTCTGCGTCCCTTCGATCCTCCTCTTTTCCCTCAATTTGGTTAACTGCAGCCACCATAAACCACAAGAGGAATCCACTTTACCCTCCAAAACACTGTGTTTTATAGCTTGGATGTCAAATCCCAGGTCATCAAGTTTTTCCAACAACTCCTTCTCTTCGGGCGTTGTGAAAAAGATTTTTTCGTTAAAAGCTTTGCTATCAACTGAGGACCTTCGAGAAGATCTCGAAGTGGAAGGTCCCCAAACATTTGGTGGAACAGTGTTCGTGGATGCAGACGTCATCCCTCGCAATCTCAATTCAAAGGCTGAGGGTGCGGCGGTCGTCATTCCATTCTCGGTGTTAGATGTTGACTGATGACTTTGCCCACCTTGTTGATTCGTTGTCAAAAAAATTTCTCGCCGCTGTCGTTCAAGATATTCGAGATGGCTCGTTGTGTCACCGCTCCCTCCGACATTATTCTCCTCAACCGATGATGGAGATTCACTATCGACTACTTCATCGGTAGTATCCCAATCGTCGTCATCGTCCTCTTCCTCATCTTTTATGGTAAACCATGGATGCTGCAGAATCTGCTTTAGCGTCAGTCGCTCCGTTGGCTCCAGCCGTAGTATCGACCTAATCAAATCCTGAGCCTCTAAGATTTTAAAAAGTTACGAGAAACAAGAGAAAAGAAAAAAATCGCAACGGATTCTAGATGGTGCGCAATAAATTTGATTAAGGGTAAATTACCGCCTGACAAAGATTCCTCCATTTCATATTCTCCTCTTATTATTTTTGCTTTCATTTCATCGTCGTCGTCGTCGTCAAAAGGAAGTGAGCCGCAAAGAAGCGTATAGAGTATAACACCAAGTGACCATATATCAATCTCTATGAAAAAGATCGACAAGTTAACCATCATCCGATCACGATAGGGTTTCCTCGTGGAAATTTGATGAAATCAAAAATTATTATCCTTATTCACCTATCCCGGAATATTTTTTACCACTAAGCATTTCTAGAAAGCAAGAAATACAACGATTTAACGTCGAGAGAGAGGAAAACAACAGGAAGTAATTAATGTACATTAGTGTATCATTTGAAATAAAATCACAAAATATTAATAGAACATTGGACTAATTTTCTCGAAAGGAAACCATCTATTACCCTAACCAATTGTATCTCTATCACATGTGATGATGGAATCGGCGCAGAGGAATATGAATTCCGAGGAGAGAGACACAAATAACAAAAGAATTATCATTCGCATTTCTACATACCTGGTGCTGAATATCCTATTGAACCACATATAGTTTCTAACAGTCTCCTGCTTTCGCATTCTCTCGTAAACCCAAAATCCCCCAATTTTATATTATTATTTGCATCAAGGAGAATGTTTTCGAGTTTAAGGTCTCTGAAAGGTTGGAGAGTGTTGATTAGGTGATCCCGTCGCCGAAAGAACATGAAGAGACGCCTAGAAGGCAAGCTTACCTATGAACAACTCTTCTATCATGACAATATTTAACCGCCCTACACAGTTGACTAAACATTTTCCTGGCCAAACTTTCTTTCAGGCGTCCTCCCCGGTTCACCAAAAAATCGAATAGCTCGCCACCCTCACAATATTCCAACACCATATAAATTTTAGTCTCGGTCGGTATTACCTCAAGTAGGGATATGATGTTTGGATGATGTAAATATCTGTGATGATGTATTTCACGGGTGCAATTCTCGGCGTGAATTTTCGGTATTATTTTTATTGCGACCTTTAACGAACGAGACGAAATAAAGAGTTAGCAATTGACGCTAAGACACCAAGACAAAGAATGTGTAATCACCTTTTGACTGGTAAGTTTATGTGTTGCTAATTTAACCTTTCCATATGTTCCTAAACAATCGACGCAACTTGTCGGTTTCATAATTGAATAAAAACGACGACGACGACGACAGTAAAAAAATATATAGATATATATATTGAATTTATTCCTCCTACCTTCACCGAGTGTTCTTTCTAAGACGTAATTCCCAACGCACTTTATTTCGTGTGTCGACAGCTCTCTTAATAATTCTTGGTAATCGGCGGCAAGCTTAATAACGAGTTAAGACAGTGTGTTGGACGATCGAGAAATGACCAAAGCAATAATTAAGTTATGCAAAGTGAAAAGACGCTTTGGTAAGCTCTAATGCAGGTTGTTTTTTGGTACCTTTGCCCTCTGATTTCTTGACACACCCGTCGTTCGCGTCCCATAAGACATATGCATGTCGTCCAGCAACTTTTTTATGAAAATGGGATTTCTACTTGCTTATAATTTATAAAATAATATTGAATGTGGTATTATATAAAAAAAAAAATTATAGTGTATATTTATACACAAGTAGACAAATAGACAAAGGGTTATATTGTTTTCTAAGTGCACAAAAATAAAAACTATTCTCCGAGTTTCCGCAGTTTAGGTTATTTTCGAACTACCTCACTAGTCGACGAAATCTAGGTCTGTGCAATATCGTTGAACCGAAAGTTGAGAGAATAGATTATAATAAGAATACAAATATGTATTGGTTACACTCGACGACAGGACAGATTATGAAGTAGGGTATTATAATAAAGAAGGATAGTGTGTAGAAATAATATACAGGCGAAGTAAGGATAAGGAAAGAAAATATAGTTGGAAATTGGAAATTAGGCGGAAAGGTTAAAGGCTTATTTTTTCTCGACTTTTTAGCAAACGGGGTGGGGGGACTCTCCTCGGAGCGCCGAATATTATTATTTTTTTTTTTTTTGTTTTGCTCGTTGGGGTAAAGGGGGAAAAGAATTGGATGTTTTTTTGAGGGTGTTTTGGTAATTTTTTGCCTAATATGACATTAGTTGTCATCCCATTTCATCACCGAATTGAGTACGTACATAAAAAATTACATAATCACCTCACCTCAAAAATTAGTTGCACGCACGTAACGCACATCTTCGACTCCCCCAGTATCTAAGATATGTAGCGCATTCACTGATCATTGAGTACACTGCACACACAGACTAATGAAATTTCCGAGGAAAAAAAAAAAAAAAAAAAAAAATGGTGAAACCGGAGAGGAAAAGATAATTGTCGCGATCACAATGAAAAAAAAAACGGCTCCTTCAGAAAACAGGGACTCGCAAGAATAAAAGGCCCCGAATGTAAAAAATAGGTGAAGGGTGGACACAGGGGACATCTCCGAAGATCTTATTGTCATCTGTTTGGAATGTCTTCTCCTCTTTCCCCAATATGCATCGTTCTTCACGGCAACAGAAGTATATACTGTACATACAGTACAGTCAGGGCGTTCAAAAATTTTTTGACAGATTAATGTATGTCAAACAATTATGGAAGTGAATTCGATAAATCTTCTAGGCGCCTTCAATTACGTAACAATATGTAGAGATCGGTATCCAACACTAATTCTTCCGACTCCGAGGGTCTCTCCGTGATGGCTTAGAGGAATACTGCACGTATGATATAATTAATGAACGATCCACGTGGGCGTGCATTGAGCGTCTTTTTGGGGCTTCCCACGCCAAACCCTCACCAATCTTGGATGAATTTTGGGGCACCTCTCGATGTGTACGTAACACTCTTGCAGGTACATAATGAAAGGCGAATTTGGCAAAAATTGGTGGTATGTGTGTTCTCCAAATCCTGTTATCCATCCCGTCAATTCTCATCCCGCTAAACTTTGTGTCACCCAGTTTCTGCAATATTACGATTTTATTGATGTCGATTATCTTTATACTGTACATGAAAAAAAACGCGATTCTTTTCAATTTAATTCTTCGCGTAAAAAAAAAAAAAAAAAAAAAAAAAAACAATTTATATAATTAACTGGTTGGCTAACAGATTGGAACAGGCTTTCCGAAGGATCTACACCACGTTGAATTAATAAAAAGCCGATGAAATTCTTCTTTCACCAAATGGTGCCTCAACTATTGCACAAAAATAATAATAACAATAATGATTAATAGGCATATCCACTTTCATAGGTAGTTCGTTTGAGGAAACCACTACCTGTCGTGTAAATGCATTATCAAGTCGCAAGCGATTCTTGAACCCATTTGATAAGCCATAAACAAGAAAATAAATGACGAAGCCGATCGAAACGTATAATGACGACATTATACGATTGATTAATCAGGCTGTGCTTGATTTGCTTGATCTTGTTGGTTATGATAATAGCACGTGTGAAGAGCCAATCATGATAAAATATGAGATTTGTCATGGTTACATTCGTAACATTAATTACAGTAGATGACTAGTCTTTATTGTATATACGGTTGCTTCTCATATTTTTAAAATTTTATTAATTCAACTTCTATTATATTTATTTATATTAATCTAAAAAAAAAATTATTCAATATACGCATAGTTTTTTTTTTTATTATATAATTTGACATAAATAAATTATCAATGTATTTTTATTATATAATTTCATATTAATATATTTTTTTATTATGATTTAATATAATAAATTATTTGTAAATTAATGATATAAACAAATCCTTAAAAATTTATTATTTTTTATTTTAATATTTATTAAAATTCATATATTTGGGTAATTATTTTTGAAAGTATTAAAAAGATTAATTAAAAATTTTCAGTGACCTTTTTTTGGATACATA